CATCCAATCCGTAATAATACCCTCTCTCCCCTTTTTTTTTTTTTTTTTTTTTTTTTTTTTTTTTTTTTTTTTTTTTCAAACCCGCCCTCTCGCCCCGGCCTACATATTGGTAGGTAGGTAGGTATTGTGATGTTGATTCCAAGACAGCAACAGCAAAGTCATGCATGAGTGACAGACAGCTCGTGGGGTTGAGATGTCTCTCGTTGGGGATGGGGATAGGACTGGACTACCGTGGCCTGGATGGGATGGATGAGATGGGATGGGATGTGGTGAATCGGATGTGGTGAATCAGATGTGGATGGATGGAGTTGGGTTAGAATAGAGTATTGTAATGATAGCTAATACCTTACCCAATGTCAATGAGCATGAATGATTATGACCGAGAATTAAGTAGGTATGGTATGAATTGACGAGGCTGTAAGTTCCATGGAAAAGTAAAGGCAGCGGACGGGACATTTATGATGTGTATGTATGGAGCAGCGGAGAAAATGAAGCAGTTTTAGACCCTTTGGTTGGTTGTCTTCGCTGACTAACTTCAATACATACCCTTGACCTGAATCGCTTTGCTCGCCATATAAACTTGCTCCCGTCACAAATTTCATGTTTTCCCATCCATACATACGCTGAAAGCCAACAAAGCCCATTTCACCGTTTCACGTCAGCACGCACACCTCAACACTTCAAATTGAGACATGTATGTAGTACGAAAGCGTTTGACACGGCAACCAACACACGCTCTCTATTCATCAACGAACCACCACCTCATAATCGATCGAACCGAATTACATACATCCGACGCAAACCAAATCCCACCAAACCAACATAACATTTCCCCACTTGGCAGCTATAGATAGATGATCTCGCGTTCCTTTCGTCATCTCATCTCATTCATTCAGCTTTCTCAAAAAAAGAATATGTATGGTACACAGACAGATCGTCTCCGATGTAGGCAGGGAGGGAGGGGGTAAGTAAGGAGAAGGAAGGAGAATATCGGATTCAGGGTGGAATCTAGTCCCCTTAAGGAGTCGAGTGAGTAGAAGGTATGTAGGTATGTGGGTTTATATTGCGGGAGAGAGAGAGAGAGAAAAGTCTAGACGCTTTCAACATTGATGATGATATCGATATCGGACATTGACATTTTTAGTTGGCATCGGGCTGGCTGAGGATGTACTCGACGGCCTTGTCGACCGAGTGGATCTGATCGGCGTCCTTGTCGGGGATCTCGATGGAGAACTCCTGTTGTAGGGTGGGTGTCACGTTAGCATTGTTCCCATGTTTTTTGGTCCTTTACGTATGTATGCTCCTGTATGTAAAGGGAGAGAGAGGCATGTAAAGAGAAATTCATGGGTCAGACCAGACGTACCTCCTCAATAGCCATAACAACCTCGACGGTGTCCAAGCTGTCAAGACCGAGGTCGTTGGCGAAGTGGGCGGTCTGGGTGATCTATACAGACAGGCGCTGTGTCAGCATCCACAATATCTTGACGACGCATGTTTCCCTTTCCGTGTTGCCATGCAGTCCTGATATGTGTGTCTCGCTCGGCAAACCGGGAACATGGCATAACGATTGTGGAGGGCCTGCAGGCGTTTCTCTACAACAGGCTGTTCTGTGCTGTACTGCTGGTGGGTCGATTGGTTGTAATTGTACTTACGTTCTTGGGGTCGTTGACCTGGAAAAAAAAGAGTAGATATTAGCCTGGAGTCTGAGAACAAGCTTGTGATGAGAAGCCATGGAGCTCTGGAGGACGGAAAAGAGCTAGAAGCGAGCATATCCGGCGGAAGAGCCACAGCGGAAGAAGATATCGAGAGGAGAGAAGGCCCGAAAGAGAGCAAGCTTGGAGGAGTGCATCCACCGAGACCAGGACGGCAACCGGATCCAGAGCTTCCAGGACAAAGTGCTGCGATTGCAGCGCGCAACGCTCTGCTAGCATAAGAGCATTTTTCTCTCCCTTGCTCTCGAAAGAGCTTGCGCATTGCCGCAGCTGGTTGCTCGGCGTGTCCTCCTCTTCGTCTTTTGCTCCTCAGGTTCCCCGGTCCGCATCTTTCTCCCCGTTGGCCTCTTCTTGTGCCTTGTTTGTCGCGGCCTGTTTTATTCCATCTCCCTCTTCTCCGTGTTTTCTCTCGCCCCCTGCCTGTTCCCTTTGTGCCTGTGTTGTTGTCTTGTAAAAACGCACCTTGTCAAATCCACTCAACACCTGCGCAATCCTGCTAAAGACCTCGTCCTTGTTGAGATGACCACCGGCGCTGTAAAACCTGACAGCCTGGAAGGCAGCGACCTTTTGGACGGCGACGGCCTGGGCGAAAGCGGCAGGGCGGGCAACACGGGCGACGCGGACGGCCGAGGCGACGGCGGGACGGGCCACGCGGGCGGCAGTGAGGGCGGCGGTGCGGAACATTTTGGCTGCTTTTATTAAAAGAATTGGTTGTGGTGACAAAGGTGCTGGCCGAAAATGAGTGACGCTACTGTACTCGGTCGTTCTCGGGCGAGGATTGTTGCGGGTTCTTGGAGGGGAGTGGATTTCTGGGCAGGTGGTTGGCTGGAATCAATCAGCGATGAATGATGATAAATTTCTCGCCCATGTACCAGGCGCGGGAAGCGGGTGTGCGGGCGGCCAAAGCTAAACTGCCAGGTACCTCCGTACAGTACAGTACCTCGATGCTCGCTCCCCGCAAGCAAGCCATGGAAGCTTCCGAGGTCACGTGCTGCCACTCTGGGGTGTACCTTTTTGTACCACTGCGAACAGACTGCGGGAACATGGAATTCCACTGCGGAGAAATGTGTCAAGCAGATACTCCACTAGCACCCCACGGGCAGAATCACTCCACTCGGCTGTTAGGCGGGTAATCCTGGCTTGATGGATACGATGCAGCTCCTTGTATCTTACAGACGGTAATTGTACATCCAGCCTTGCAGCGTCATTTCTGATATCTCCCCCCAAGCGACACACAGACAAAGATCAAATTATGAAAAGGCGCTTTTGAGGATAACCACAAACGTATCTACAGCCTTATTCTGCCTGCCTGCCTGCCTGCCTTCTATAACACATGGTGCGTCCTGTTGATACCGCAACCCCGTCCGAAACTGCTGGTCCCGAAGCTCTAGCATAGCAACAACGAAATAGATTCTCCGTCCTCCACTGTCCATTATCCCGTGGTCAAACTGAAAACCGCCCGCTTATCTGTAGGGAGCGTCGGCCCTGATGGCAGCAGCCAACTCGGGCTCCCACTTGTCGCCGTTTGACAAAAGCTTCTCTGTTCGTGTCACATTTGTTAGTAGACAACATCATCACTCATCCCTGCCCCCCCGGGTCCCAAATCACCACCCGGAACGCAAACTCACCCTTGTTATACAACAACTCCTCCCTCGTCTCCGTCGCGTACTCGGCATTGGGACTCTCCACAATCGCATCAACAGGACAGCTCTCCTGGCAGAACCCGCAGTAGATGCACTTGGTCATGTCGATATCATAGCGGGTAGTCCTTCTGCTTCCATCGGCACGCTCCTCGGCCTCGATGGTAATGGCCTGCGCAGGGCAGACGGCCTCGCAGAGCTTGCAGGCAATGCAGCGCTCTTCGCCCGAGGGGTAGCGGCGCAGGGCGTGCTCGCCGCGGAAGCGAGGGGAGATGGGTCCCTTTTCGAAGGGGTAGTAGATTGTGTACCTGGATGGTGATGGGGGTGTTAGTTGATGAATGGTGGGTTTGGTTGGCGCTGTTGCTGTTGATCGTAGGTCGTGGTGATGAGCAGCCGAGGAGTAGTGCAGTATGAGGAGCGCGCTGAGCAACCAGCTGGCTCCGTGGCCGAGCCGCAGAGCCGCAATCTCCATACTCCAGTGCGCGAGTCATGATACTTGTCGCGCCGTGGATCCCCCCCCTTCTTCACCTTCCACCACTCTTCCACTCTCACTCCCACTCTCACTCCCACTCGTCACCGTCCTCCTCCTCCTCCATCCACAGTAACAGCAAAAGCCAAAAGAAAAAGCCAGTACTTACGGCGGCCTAAAAAACTGCTCCATAGCCACATACATGCCCCTAAACATCTCCGTCAAGAGAAAGTACCGTCCATTCTTGTCCAGCGCGTGTTCCTCCTCTTGGTCCCAAGTCTTGGGGGTCGGGATGCGGAAGCCCTTGGGCGGAGGGCCGGCGGGAGTCGCGTAGGTACGGATGGCTTGCGAGACGGCCAAAGAAGAGGGGGCCATGATGGCTCGGTGGCGGGTGGTAATAAGTTGGCGCGCGACGACGGCCGCGGCCGAGGAAGCAGTGGTGGTGAGCATGGTGGCGGTTGTGATGTCGATAGAGACGGTGGGTGGTTGTGGTGGTGTGAGATGCGCCGGGTCGATGTAATCGAGCCTAGGTGGTGACAACAAAGTCAATTACACTGCACTGCTTTGCGCCTTGCGAATTCAACTATTGCGACCACTCAGTGTCCAGTCCAGTTCAGTTCGATTTGGAGCTTTCGATGGTGACGAACAGAACCACATCGGAACGCTATCATAGACTAGAGTGGATCGTAGCAGTTCAGCGCACGAACCTGGATGGAGGCGACGTTCCAGCACAATCCCCGGGCTGTGATAACTTGACGTCGGTCGGTCGGTCGGTCGGTCGTCGATGGATCCCTGCCGTGTGCAGTGCTTGGAGTTATCGCCGACTGGGACGTCCACTTCCAGACGGAGCCTTGGAGCCACAGAAGTGGATTTGGAAAGGCTGAGCTGCAATTGGTTGCGGCTGGTGAGACTCATTCTCGATATCGTGATTTGCCACGTGATTGGATTCATGGAGTGTACCTACCTTAGTAGGTACCTACCAGTTTACCTTATCTTATCGTTCCTGCACCCCCCACCATACCTATCTTACCTAATGGAGGTAGCTCGCCAAATGACCCCACTCTCAAGCTCCAAATCCAACCCCGCCCTCTTTCCTCTAAAGTTGCAGTGTGAGCTGGCACGCAGCGTCCCCCATATGAGCTCCCCTTTCTAACCTGTCTTTTAACAACATCCACTTGTGACAACTTGGCCGAGTGGTTAAGGCGACAGACTTGAATAACCTCATTATTCAGCCATCTGTTGGGTTCGCCCGCGTAGGTTCAAACCCTGCAGTTGTCGTTATCCGATCCTCTTTTTTTTTCTCTTTCAGCTTTCATGTCTACGAATCTCGGGAGCTCCCTGACGAGCTTCCTTTTTTGTCATGTGTATCATGCTCCTGTACAATATGCTCCTCTCGAGGTTCGTTGGGTTGTGTTTTGTGAATACTTGTAGCGTTACACATGTTTCCCTTGTCAAGGTTCGACTGACCAGCTGCCACTCTTTCTTTGTAGGTCAGCCTAGTCAAGTCAGCTATGTATGCCTTCGCTCGGTGTACTACTGTACTTCCAGCTCAAATTCGTCTATCAAAGGTTGAGGACAATGCTACCTCTAACCGTGCGTGCTAGGCATGTACCGTTTGCTCTCCTCAACCTCATGTCCCGATTTCTTCCACCCCGCCCCCCTTGGCCCCTTCCTATTGCTTTTCCATATCTCCATTTCTCCCAGCTTCTATTTTCTCACCCACCAAGGCTGTCGCCCTACCTTAAACACAACCCTCTTCCGTCCTTTCCACATCGATCCCTCCTCTCCAGCCAGCCTTGATATACCTACCACTCACGCCACTCCAGCCTCCTCATCATCTTCACCACCACATGTCGAGGCCCAGCCGTATGACTCCTGGGTGATACACTTCCAGTCGAGAGGTTCACTCCGTTTTGTAGGTAGCTTCGTTTGCAGTGCCTCAAAGCAACAGAGAACTACGAAAGTCTCAACCATGCTGTTATGGGCAACAACAAGGCCGGCTTGCTTTCCAGAGCACTATGTAGAGGTAAATTCCGGTTGATCTCCCTGATACGGTCTTGCGTAATCATCTCGGCTTTAGGTGTCGCGCCGGAGGTTCTGTGGTAGGTAGGTAAGGTAGGTAAACTGTAAAACCGGTCAGCAAACAAACATGAGAAGGAAAAAAAAAAAGAAAAAAAAAGAAAAAAAAGGAGAGAGAGAGAGAGAGAGGAAAAAATAAAGCAACAAAAAAAGGAAAGAAATAAACGCAAAAAACTGAACGGACTGACTGGACTCGTGTTTTCCTTGGCTTGCACGCATCAGTTACCAACTCCAACATCTTACCATCCAGTGGCACTCGAGAGCTAAGTCTAGAGGTAACTACGCTCCAGTACTCCATCCTCACAAAGATCTAGACTACCGTACCTCCACGTAACGGACATGGAGAGCATCAAGCATGGGGAAAAAACACCTTAGCTCTAGGTATGGGACAGAATCAAACACAGCTCACAGCACAGGAAAGAGACGATAAGTTACGGGTATTCCAGCTCAACTAATTCGTCAAAAAGTCATGATTCATCTATCCATTCATCATACCATGCTACGCTATGGGTATCTACCTTATCTATGCCATGCCATGCTGTCCATGCCTGTACTGTTCCATTTCGTTTCGTCTCCTTATCCGCCTTTTTCTTTCCTTTCCACTTCCAATCTCTCCCTCCCTAAAACCTCCTCTCCCACGTATTCCACCAAACCCCCATATTAGCCGCCACCACCAAATCCAGCATCTTGAGTCCCTCATCATGGACAATCAGTTTCCCCAGCTTCGCTCTCTTTCCCCGACTTCCTCCACCTGCATCTTCCCTCCCCAGCGCCAAATCAAACACGTCCTCTTCGTCATTGAAATACTCGTCTTCCGAGCTGGGCGGCTCTAGACCCAGGAATCTGGAGAATCGATGTCTCTTGCTCCCTGTCGCAGCACCCTGTTCCCCGCCAGCGCCAGGAGAGCGTGGTTCAGACGGTAGATTAAACCGCAGTTCGGAAACGGGTTTGGCGCCGGTTATCGCCCAGGTGATGGAGTCGCCGCGGGATTGGCCGATGGTGGGCGCGTCGCGGACGGACTGGGCGAGTTTGGCTGGGTCGATTTGCGTGATTCCGCCCGAGTGTTCGTCGAGGATGTGTCGGCATTTTAGGGAGCGGCCGGTGGAGCCGGTGCGGAATTCACACCTGCCTAGCCAGGGGGAGAGGAAGACGTAGCCTTTGGGGCGGAGGTTGGGGCCTGGTTGGGTTATGAGTTGGCCGCCACCACCGCCCATGGACTCCCGGCGGTTGTGGCCGGCGGGGGGAGGAGGAGACTGGGGGTTTTGGTTTTGGTGTTCGTTGGGCGAAAGGTCGGCGGACCCGATGGTTGAGGAGCTGCCGTGGCGAGTATGACGTGGGATACCATCGCCCATGGTACCGGTAGCGGAGGCGGTGCTGGCTGAGCGGGAGTGGCGCTTGAAAGCACCTTTGAGACCCGAGGTCCACGATTTGGTGTAGGCCATGACTACCTGGCGATGGAAGCCTTCCTCTACTTCCCTGTGCGCTACACCCATGATTTGCTTTTGGGGACTTGCACCGCCTGAGCCCAGACTTCCCAAGCTTCCATTCCCACTTGAACTACCCGACCCCAAGCCTTGCAGCGTCCTGGCGAATGACTGAGGGGAGGTTGGCCGCAAAGCCTCAATGTTTGCGCGGCTGGGCATGCCCCTATACTTTGCGTACCCGGATGTTTCCAAGTGAATGTCGATTAACTGCGTGGCAATCGGTGGTGGTTGTTCAGCGGTTGACGCATCCTCCTCCCCTAGATCCGGATGTGCTGACTCGGGAGTAGGTATGTTGGTCTCAAACGAAGAAATCTTGCCCACGTTCCACTGGAGGTTGGTCGAAGGATCCCGCCGGATGAGAGTGAGGGTGAAGGGGATAGTTGCTGCTAGTTTCGAGGTGCTGGGTGCGCGAGCACGGGTGACGGTACTGGAGGGGGAGAGGATCCCATCGGCGGGTCGGGGGACGTTGGAAGTGGGAGTGTAAAGTGTCTGGTCAGTAGGCGTAATCGGTCGATTGCTGGTCGGGACAGTGCCAGGGCTGACAGTCGGCTCCTCTGGGATGGTCAAACCGGTCGGTGGCCGTGGACCCATGGGGCGGCGCATGGCTGCTAGGTTCTCGGCCGCCGGTCTCAAAGGCGGTTCGGCAACTGGGCCGGGCTGGAACATTGGGTTCGGTCTGTATCCGTCATTCCCAGCAACCGGTGGCTGAGCAGCTACAGCCCGGTCAACCCTGGCTGAAGCTCGTGGACGTCTAAGCGAGGCTGTACGTCTAACAGAGGGCGACCTAGTCGGCACCGGCCCTGTGTTATTCTTGGGCGCATTGTTCTCGTTTTGAATCGCAGGCATGTTCGGGGAAGGTTGTCTCGGAGTGGGAATGTCGACACGGGCACTAGGCGGTAACGGTTTCCGGGGAATCACACTCCTCGCGCTCTCACCACTAGTTCGAGGCGAAGTGGCAGTGCATGTCTCGTTTGGACGCGTGTTTTCGACTAGGAGGTCGTCGGTGGGCAGGTCAAGGTGTATCAGGTAGAGAGCATTGTTAATGTCTTGTACCGTCACGTTCTTGCGCTGCGGACGAAAGGGCGAGAGGATGACATCTGTTGACCGGCGGTTTTGTTTAGCGAGACTCGAGACGAGGAGTGAGACTGGAAGCATAGGTACCTCGACTACCGGGAACTCGTGATATGTACAAGGTCAATGACTCCTTGACGTCGGCGCTGTGAGGGTATTGTGGGGGATTGGCGGCGAGGGAGTTGAGTGTCGAGAGGGACCTCGCTTCCACGTGCGGTTTGGCGGCCATGTGCAGGAGGATGATGATCAAGAGATCAAGTAAATATCTTGCTTGCTTGCCTGCCTGCCAGCAGGACAAGTGTTGCCGTTCGTGATGCTGTCGGTTGTGTGGTGGTTCAACCAAAAGTGGTGTACTGGGAGTCGTCAGCCGCGGGGGCTGTAGTGTGGTCGGGTGTTGAACAAGGGAAAAGACGGGAACGGTGGTGGCTGGTCAGACAGACAGTTGAGTGTACCTAGCAGAGAGAGCTCGCTGGTTTGGGGTGGCGGGGATTGTGGTTGCATCTTATCGCGAGTCGGAAACAGACTGGCACAGCCCAGCCCAGCCCGGGCACTGAGTGTTTGAAACAGCGGAGAACAGTGGATATTGTTATGGAGATGCCCTGACGGGACCTGAGCGCTTGACGGCGGCCTCCACTCTGGTCCTCAACACTTCAACACCTCATGGAAGGGAATGTCGCCGACACCCAGAAATAGAAATCATTGGGCACGATTTCATTTATCCCTTTAGCTGGCGCATTCGGTAACGATCAAGACCCTAAAAAGTAACGGTCAAGTCCCCCCCACTTTTACAGCACGTGCAACCGCCCAGCCGCCCAGCCCAGTCGCGTACCGTGTGCACATCGCTTACTTACGTACGTACACTACTAAATCTACGTCGCTCTTTTACGTGAAGCTATTCACAGTTATCAATCTTATTAATTATCTATTACTAAAATAGTTAATACGGTTCTTGCCAATGTAACTACTATTCCTACTACTGCACTAGCGGCTGCGCTAGTCGCTACACTTACTACCTACCTTAAAATTAATACTTACCGTATAAATACTGGCTAAAGTGCACGTACCTATCTTAATTCTAATACCTAGAGTGCTAGCCAAAGTACTAGCCAGAATACTAGCCAGAATATTGGCTAGAGTATTAGAGAGCCCCTATATTTATATATCCCTATAAATATATTGGAGGCATTGGAGGTAGTACCATAGGGACTAGGGCTCGTTCATACTACGTTACTAATATAATCTATCCCTCTCCCTACTACTAGTTAGAAGGCGGCGGACTATCCTAATAATAAGTCAATTATTTAATAGGAGCTAGCACCTTATAACCAAGCTAATTAAAGCTACTAAGAGTTAATAAATTACTATAATATAGCTATTGCCAAATTAACGGCTATTACTAACCAACGTAAGGATAGGGAAATAGGGAGGGTACTAGTGCGCGCTAGGAATAATACGAAGAGGGTACGGGCGAGGGAGCTAGAGGAAGAGGGGGTACTATAGCGGCTGGAATTATTGTTAGTAGTTTTAGTACTAGCGTTCTTTATAACGTAATATTCTCTATAAGGCTCTAGCGAAATATTTTAAAATTTATTCGAATAAGCGATGCCTCTTCTCTTCTTATTAGCTCTTACGTTACCGCTCGTT